TGTGTCAGGATGGACCTGATGCCACTGACCCCTAGCATCAAGTGAAACCTTACCATTTTAGTAAATGATGCAGGATACCCAAGAATAGTCACTAGAGAGGATGGGGGAGAGAGAGGGCAGTGTGATGCTGCCAGTGCTGGCCTGCCCTGTCTCCTCTGCCAGGAGTGAAAGAAAGGTGGGAGTGATGGTCTTGTTCAGTTCTCACACCAATGTCTACCATTGCACCTGGCACAGTCCAGGCCTGGAAAAGTCACTGAACAAGTGACTGTCTTACATTCCAGACAAAGGAGACACAATGGGAAGAAGGTCTGGTCCCCACCCTGAGCAACTCACTGCCAGTGGAGGAGGCAGATGAATGCAGTATGGCTTCCCTGCCTTGTAACAGCACAGGATCCTGGGGGAATGCAGTAGACTTAAGGAAAATGAGGAGGAAGAGGAGAAGGAGGAGGAAGAGGAGGAGGAGGAAGAGGAGGAGGAACAAAAGCAATCTAAAGAAAAAATGGTTTATTTTGTTTCAGTGTTTAAGGAGGGTCACAGCCCATGAAAGCCTGGAAGTCATGGGAGGAAGAGGAGGAAGAGGAAGAGGAGGAGGAGGAGGAAGAGGAGGAAGATGAGGAAGAGGAAGGAGGAAGATGAGGAGGAGGAGGAGAGGAGGGAGGAGGAAGATGAGGAGGAGGAAGAGGGAGGAGGAAGAGGGAGGAGGAGGGAGGAGGAGGAAGAGGAGGAGGAGGAGAGGAGGAGGAGAGGAGGAGGAAGAAGATGAAGATGAGGAAGAGGAGGAGGAAGGGAGGAGGAGAAAGATGAGGAATCCGGACCAAGAACTCCAAGACGACAGCAAAGCCATAAGCATTCTATCTTTGAACCCTTGCAAAACAGGCAGTGCCTGATCCCCACTGTTAGCCCAATGTATACATGCCTGGAGAATGGGCACTTCAGGGGAAAGATCAGGAGTTCTCAGGGAACCTGGAGGAGAGGGGTTCAGCTAAAGGAGCAGCCTGTGTGTGTGACGCCTGGAGAGGTGAGCACAGCAGGCCTCACAGAACACTCAGTGTGGCTGCAGGAAATGTATGAGATGACAGCAGGGAAGGGAGTCTGGAGATGGACAAGACGTGGTGTCAGAGGCCAAGACTCAGAGGACCTTGTCCTCTGGGTTTTGGGGAGCCATGGTGGTGTTTACAAGACTAACAGGCTCAGATCCGCATTTTTGATAAGATTTACCCACTATGGGACAGACTGGAAAAGGCTGGCTGTGAGGTAACATGGACTTGCTAGTTTGGGAGTTGTCTGGGATTGCCTCTAAGGAAACGGAGGCAGTCTTCTGCAAAGGGAAGATCCTTTGCACAGGTTCCTCCTGGGGCTTGCCGTCACCTCGTCAACTTCTTTCTCTTCTCCATGTTTCATCAAAGCAGCTCTGTCTTCAAATACTTTAAATCATTTTGTTTTAATTAAAGATCCTAGAGTGGCACATGGATATCTGCATCTTGACTTATTCTATGGCCATTTACAGAAGGTTCTAGAAAATATTCTGTTGCTATGAGAAGTATGAACTGACTTCATACTTCATACAATCTGTTACCATGGTTTCCAGCCAGATGCTCACTCTCACAGTTGTTTTGACTAGATGGTGGCATGTGTCCCCCTTACCCAGTTCTACACAAAGCATCTTAACAGCCAGTCTAGTAAATACATTCAATGTGGCTGATGGAACTTTGAACACTGTGAAAACTTAAATGAACAGCCTGCCCACTATCATTTAACCAGGCCAACAGTCTGGTACCAAAATCTCAAGATGGATCTTCCAAAGTCTGTGTGTCCTCAGATCTGATGTTGGAGGAGAGAGGAAAACAGAGAGCCAACTAGAAGAGGCTCAGACATCCAGAACCAGCTTCGAGGGACAGGGATTACCATGGAGAACAGTCATGGAAAAAGTGGCCCTGTCCAAGACCAAGAGGGTACTGTGACTGTGACATCACCACCTCTCCTTTACAGATGAGGAAACAGAGTTGGACAGGTAAGTGGACCTGCTCTCAGCACCTATGACTTACCTAGCTCAGGCTGCCACACAGATACCATACACTGGGCAGTTTATGGTGCCCAGCTCTGCAGGCTGAGATTCCTGGGTCGGGGGACAACATTTATATTCATTCTCTTATGTAATCAGTTTTTCCACATCAATTAAAATAAAATAAAGCAGTTTATTATATTGATTTTATAGTTTGCATTCAGTCACTTGGTCTTGTCTTTTCTATGACAGGACCTGTTCCACCCCCAACAAACCTATAGCTTACTGAAGTGACATCAGAGAGTTTCAGAGGAACCTGGAACCACGGAGCTTCAGATGTGTCTCTCTACAGAATAACTTGGGCACCTTTTGGAAACCCAGATTGGATGGAGGTAAGTCTCTCTCTCTCTCTCTCTCTCTCTCTCTCTCTCCATCTCTCCCTCCCTCCTGTCTGTGGCTCTCCCTCTCTTCCTCTTAGAAGTCCACAGTCCTATCATGTTGTGACTTCATTCAATCATCTCCTGGATCCTCCAACTTCACATCAAAGCTGGGGTCTTGTTGGCAGAACTTGGGTCTATAGTTGTCTTCTTGGTGGCATTTGTAGTGCTGGGGTCAGAGCCTGTCAGTCAGACTCAAAACCAGAATGGGCTACCTTCTCCTCTTCCCTCCTCCTCTCACACACCCAGGGCTCCCCGAGACACCCCACTACCCTCACTCTCTGGGGTGTGATCCTTCTTCCACTTTCCCCTTCACTGAGGTTGTCTCAAGCCAAGGACTGCACAACAGCTTCGCTTTAAACAGGTGGAAATATCACACCTGACAACTCAGCTCGGGTTATCGCAGCTCGGGAGCATAGCTCATTCATTCTGCAGGGCAAAGCTGTCATGGAAACTAATCAATGGTAAGCTTCGCTGGTGCCAGTCACGGAGCCTGTCGTCAGCAGGAAAGAGTGATGAGAAATGGAGAGCGAGCCTTCCCAAGGCTGCGGTAATTCATCCACCACAAAATGAGTTCCAGCGCTGGTATGTGAGTAATAGAAGGCAGGGTGCCCTTACCACCCCAACACACACTTCCACATTGTTCACTCTTCCCCACAGGGCAGGAGGAGGGAGCTGGGGAGGGCAGCAGCTAAGCCAGGGAATGCCAGGGGACAGGGCTAAGAGGTGGAAGCCACAAGGGCAGACAGTGTGCTTCAAGTCTTGTCTCTCCACCTACAGTAGAGTGACTCAGTTACCCCATCTAAGAGATGGGTTAATAGAGTAATAGGAGAAGATTCAAGAGGTTAAATAGGACACAGGTCACATACCAATTAAACATGAGTGCCCAGTTCCCCATGAGGTTGAACATGGCAGGGAGCAGCAGCAGGATGCTCTTGCCTTTGAATCAATTCACTTGTCATAAGCAGGCAGTGGGCTGCTCTGAGCCCAGCTGACTCAGATGTGGGCACATAGCTGTTTACAGAGCCTCCCAAAAGGCCAGAATCCATGGGAAGTGGGGACTGAGCATGTGGCTAGAAAATACCCCACATGATTCCTCCTGGAAACAGCTCCCATTTCCCTAGGCCTGCTGCTCACAAGCCTCAGTGCCCTCCTCTGTGGCTTCAGGAAGGGACCCCCTCACTCAGGCCAGGTCAGCCTTGGCTGCAGCCTCTGCTGGAGCTTTTGCTGAGTGCTGGGGGAGCACAAGCCTTGGCTCTGAAAATGAAACTGGTGTGGAGACAGAGGAGAGAGACTGAGGTCAGCTGTGCCTCTGAATGTCTTAGTTACAAAAGCCAAGGGAGCCTTGTGTGCTTCTGTATCCGTGTGCCTCCTTCTAACCAAATCATAGGGAGGAGAGGGACTTGGGACTGACCGGTGGCTCCTCTCTTCTCAACCTAGTGTTTCAAGGCTCATTAGCGGTCTGTTCATTTACCTAACATCTCTCGTATCTCTCATGTATTTCTCATTTGTTTATTATTCATTTATCTAAATAATCTACTGTCTCCTTACCTACCGAGCTACTTCTGCTCTGCTGTAACCAAACCACCTGACCAAAACAGCCCAAGGGAGGAAGGATTTCTTTCCGCTCTCAGAGTTTCAGTCCATCACAGCAAAGAAGACGTAACTGAACAGCTTAGTTCATGGTGGTAGGAGTGTGGGGCAGAACATTCACATCACTGGGGACCAGGAAGCAAGAACATGACAGGAAACAGGCAGGTACAGCCAGTCCCACCGACTTGCCTATTCCAGCCAGACCCTACTTCTAAAGATTTCACAGCTTCCCAAAGTAGCACCGTCAGCTTGGGAACACACACTCCAAATATGAGCTTGTGTGCTGACAGGTCAGGTCTAAAGCTCAGCATCTACGTACGGACTATTCTTTATATAGCGATCACCCATGTGCTACCATATACAGACATACACATATGTAACAACCTTCAAAGAACAACATTATCATTAGAGGAAGTATACCTTTGTAACTTTTGATTAATGTTCCCAGCAATGAACAGAATTGTTAGGTGCATTAAAAGTGAGGAAATTGAGCCCCAGAGAGTTTGAGGGGCAAGTCACAAACCAAACGCTGGAGAGCTGGAGAGATGATGGCTCAATGGTTAAGAGCACCTACCGTTCTTACAGAGGACTAAGGTTCAGTTCCCAGCTCCCACATGGTGTCTCACAATGTCCTGGACTCCGGTTCCAGGGGATTTTGATGCCTTCTTTGGCTGTGTAGAGTGAAGCATGGGTTCTGGTCCTTTGTGACGTTAACACAATGGGTGGAGCCTTCTAAAAAGCTGGACCTCCTCAGAAGAACACTTAGCATTCTCCTAAAACATACGACCTGACCTATCTTTTCAAACACACATGAACTTTTCCACTAAACCCATTTTCAGCTCTGATTCACCCAGTAGAACAGAATTAAGATTAATGCCCAAAGACTTCATTAGAAAACCTTCAAAACTGTTGGGAGGTGTGAGCCCAGATATCCTGTTCCTTTCCCTTCCAGCAGCCGCCCCACTCACCACAGGTTCACCAGGAACGGGTGCTCCAGCCCCTGCATGATCTGCAGCTCCCGGAACACGTTCCGCACCTCGTCCCTTTCGATGCACTTTTGCTTGTTCATATACTTCATGGCATACATTTTCTTTGTGTCCCGCTTCTGCACGATGCATACCTGAGGGACAGCCAAAGGGACAGCACTCAGGGCAATATTAAGAGGCAGAGGGAGAAGGATAAGGAGGGGAGGAAGGGGAGGAGGGAGAAGAGGAAGAAGAAGAGGAGGAGGAAGATGAGGAAGTGGAAGAGGAGGAGAAAGAGGAGGAGGGAGAAGAGGAGGAGGAAGACGAGGAGGAGGAAGAGGAGGAGAAAGAGGAAGAGGAAGAAGAGGAAGAAGAAGAAGAGGAGGAAGATGAGGAACAGGTGCATGTGGAGAAAGAGGAGGAGGGAGAAGAGGAGGAGGAAGACGAGGAGGAGGAAGAGGAGGAGAAAGAGGAAGAGGAAGAAGAGGAGGAGGAAGAGGAGGAGGAAGAAGAGGGAAGGGGAAGAAGGGGAGGAGAGAGAAGAGAAGGAGGAAGAGGAGGAGGAAGAAGAGGAGAAGGAAGAGGGGGAGAAAGGAGGAAGAGGAGGAGGAGGGGAAATGTCAGCTTCTCATTGACTGCTATCTAGGGTCTGTCATTCCAACCACCTGCTAGCAGTGCAGCTCTGGCTAAGCCAAGACCTCTCTGAAGTCTCACAGGACGCACTGGACCAGATTCAGCCCTTAAATGTGGACATTAAGTGTTGGCTGTGGACTCCATGTTGGAAACACAGCAGTCGACTCAGCAGATAGAAGGAGCAACCATGCCCTTGAGGAACTCAGAGCCCAACAAAGGCATTCGTGCAGCCTTGGGACATGAGTGCCCACAAGCTGTGAATCCCCAATTCTAGGCGCTACAGTCCCAGGACATACATGTACACTCACAATATACACCCTGCCCCAGAGACTACAGCCATGAGACGTGCACACATGGTGTGACCCTATCCCAGGGATACAATACCAGAACATGTTGTGCATGTGTGCTACATACCCAGCCCAAGTGACCTGTGACACCTGTGAAAACCTAGAGACCTAGAGAGAGAGGCTGTATGTGCCGCAGGCAGCAGAACTGAAGAGGGGAGGAACCCAAGCCTGTTGGAGCCCACGTGATGCTGTTACAAGCCTCAGATGCTTGTTATGGAGCAGAGAGCTTGGCGTTTCCCTCCTGGGTTTTAGTCCTGCTTTGGTCCACTCTTTCCTTGCTATCCTCCTATCCTTCCCCTTTTGAAATGGGAATTCTTATTCTGTGCTTTGTATGTTGGAAGTGTATAACTTGTTGTTTGATTTTATAGAGGCTTACAGTTAAGAGATTGTATTGTGGCTCAAAAGAGACGTTTTGACTTTTGAGTAGTGTGGGGACTGTAACAGACTTTGGGGCCTTCTGAAGCTGGCATGAATGAATTTTGTATTATGAAATAACCATAACATTACAGGAGCCATGTTGGGGGCCTCTGTTATGTGAAGTAGAAGTCTCTTCATATCCAGATAGCTCAGGAGCTCGGAGCCATGTGCTGAGACTCCTTTCATAGCAGGGTGCCTTCCTGGCATTTTTCCCAACTCTCCTTTTGAAGTGCCCGCCATAAATGCCCTAACATAAACATGGCCTCTGGCTCTAGGAATACCATGCTTTCCTGTGATTTGTCAGGCAGTCAGCCGTCTGGCAACATGGCAGAAACCCACTTCCATATGCAAATAGAATGTCTCGAAGCTAGGAGGTGAACACTTAATAAAAGCTGTAACACGGACTAAGCAGAGTCCCGCGTCTTACTACCAGCGATCCAGCCTCTCCGGAGGCAGCATTCCTCCGTCACCGACTCGCGGATCCCAGCTTCAGCCGCCTCGTACTTTCCCGCGTGTTCTAGCGGCCGGTGGAACTCGCATATTGAGGAAAGTACACGGGTGAAATCAGGGCGGAGACATGGCTGGACAACGCTCCAGCAGCAGAGACCCACAGAGACACGGAGAAGCCCACGGGGCCAGACCCGCCTTCTTCCAGGGCGCAGCTGAGACCAGGGGATCAATCCCCGCGGGACCACGTGCACCATAGAGCCAGTAGTAGAATGTGGTTTGAGTGTGAAATGCCCTCCACGGCTCATATGTTTGAACCCTTGGTCCCCAGCTGGTGGTGCTGGTTTGGAAAGTAGCAGAATCTTTAGCTGGTAGTCTTGCTGGAGGAAGTGGATTACTGGTTTTAGAGCCTGGCCCCACTTTCTGTTCACTCCGCTTCTTGTTCCACCAACATGAGGAGTCCCAGCTGCAAACTCCTGGCACCATGGATCCGTCTGCCTCTGTGCCTTCCCTACATGGTGCTCTGAATCCCCTCAAACTAAGACAAAACTTCCTTCTTGACCTATCTTCATTTCTTCTGCTGTGATAAAATATCCAGACAAAATTTAATTTAGATTAGAAAAGTTAATTTTAGTTCAGAATTCCAGGTTCGATCCATCATGGCTGGGAAGTCAAGGCGGCAGCAACTTCAGTTAATCACATCCGCCGTCAGGAGCAGAGAAATAAAAGCGTATGTGCTCACATTCTTCACTCTTATACAATTCAGGGCCTCTTGTGTAAGGAATGGCATCACCCACAGTGGGCTGGGTCTTTCCACAATATCAACTTAATGAGACAATCCTCCACAGACATGCCCTCAAGGTAACCCAGCGAAGACAGTCCCTCGTGGAGACTCTTTTCCCAAGTGGTTTTTAGCCTCAGAGCTACCCAACTTTAATTCACAGAAACACACAAATTATGAAAAAATAAGACTGGTTGAAAGGTTTTAACTCCTCAATAACTGATTCTTGGTTGTGTCAAGTTGAGAATTGTCATGGTTAGCATCACAGTTGTTAAGTTCTTGTCAGGTACTTGGTTACCATGAGTAACTAAAATGCTTGGTTTCAGTTACCTGTAGTCAACCATGATCTGAAAATATTAAATGAAACTTCCAGATATGAATCATAAATTTTAAATTGTGTGTCATTTTGATTAGTATAATAACTTCTGACACTGTCTCACTTCAACCTGCCTAGCATATGAATCATCTTCTTGTCCAGTATATCCATGCTCTATACCTTATACTTCCAACAGCGCTCAGAAGTCCTTTTGGTGTTGAGATAGACTGGTGCTGTGTAACAGGGCTTTCACTCAACTGACTTCTAACCTGCATCACAGTGCCTATGCCATTCCTTGCATCATATCATCATGTGGACCTGCACCATCTCACATCACATCATCATGTGAACCTAAACCATCTCACGTCACATCATGTGTAACTGAACCATCTCACATCGCATCCTGTGTGCCTGAACCATCTCACACCACATCATGTGTATCTGCACAGCTCACACCACATCATCATGTGTACCTGCACCATCTCACATCACATCATGTGCACCTGAACCACCTCGCATCACATCATCATATGGACCTGCACCATCTCACACCATATCATGTGCACCTGAACCATCTCACATCACATCATCATGTGAACCTGCACTATCTCACATCACATCATGTGCACCTGAACTATCTTACATTACATCAGTATGTGGACCTGCACCATCACACATCACATCATGTGCACCTAAAATATCTCACATCACATCATCATATGGACCTGCACATCTCAAATAGCATCATGTGGGCCTGAACCATCTCACACCATATAATCATATGGATCTGAACCATCTCACATCACACCATGTGCACCTGAACTATCTCACATCACATCATCATGTGGACCTGCACCATCTCACATCACATCAACCCCTGAACCATCTTACATAACATCATCATGTGCACCTGAATATCTCACATCACATCATCATTGAACCTACACCATCTCACATATCATCATGTGGGCCTGAACCATTTCACGTCATAGCCTCATGTGGGCCTGCACCATTCCATACCATCACAAGGTAAATACAGTTCAGTAAGATACTTTGGAAGAGAAGAACCTCAGTCACTTAACTTTTATTACAGTATGTGATTAGAACTGTTCTATTATTATTGTGGTTGATCTCTAATGGTGTTCAGTTCATATTTTAAGCTCTAGCATAGGCATGTATGGATATGTACAGGGGAAATATATCACATATTGGTTTGATACTATTTAATGTTCTAGACATTGACTAAGGGTCTCAAATGTATCTTCCAGGGATGGAGGGTTGTTACTGTATTTCACATTCTAAGGTTCCAGAAAACAAGGTTTAGGGGGTTCCTCTTCAACGGACTGCAGTCGTGATTTCCATCTATACTCTGCAGGCACAGGACAATGGAACAGGTAGGAGTCAGGTATTCTGTTCAGGCTCAAGTCCAGGCTCTCTTCCTCCCCAGCTATTCTTTTCCACTGCTGACACTGCTTCCCAGAGAAAAGGGACAGGGTGGGTGGAAGGTGCCATAAGGCAGGGGCTAGGCAAGGCAGCTACAGAGCTCGGGGGTCTCCTTGCACTATGGGCCGCTCTTTGGTTGGAAACTGGATCTTTTTTTGCTCCTGCATGCTATGCATGTCTTTGAGGCAGATGTAGAACAGTGGAGAAAAGCCTGAATCTACTTAGGTTCTTGTGTTTCTGTCTGCACTCTGCACCCCTGGAGAGAATCTACAGGAGGTCGAGGAAATGGAAGTGTCCAACAGCACATATTGTGAAACCTCAAAAAGAGGTCTTCCTAGACAGTGAGATCTGTGACTTATGGCTAAAGGTCTACAACTCTTCCATTTCCTGTAAGTTTGAAATACAGCTACAGGGAGGTAATGATGCAGTGTGCCTTTAGGGGCTCTGGCTTGTGGGAAGTCAAGCAGACTCCAACAGCCCCGAGAACAGCAGTGGGTGGGTAATGTCACTCATCAGAACCTCTTGTTTCTGTTGCTTTCCGTTTACAGTTTTAGAATGACATCAGATTTCTCAGCAGAATGCTAAAGCCCAAAGGCACCAGTGGCCTAAGCCAAGTCCTGAGAGCAAGTAACTGCGAACCGAGAATACCATACCCAGCACAGCCATCTTCCGAGGTCAACAGAGAAGTGAAGCACTTCCTCAACAAACACAAAACAAACTTAAACCACCCACGAACCCTAAGCCAGGGATGTGGAAAAACTTAGGCAAATT